CTGCTTTTAGCTAAGATCCATCCGACATCAGTAGTGATTGTCCTCATTCCATGTCCTCTTCTGAACCCAGCTTGGGCTTCTGGATGTATGGCTACAATCATATATGAGTTAAGGTAGTAGTGGTGTGTTTGTGCCAGGGAGTTGGTTCCGACTCATAGCAACCCTGCATAGGGTTTCCAAAGATGTAAATCTTTATGGGAGAAGAAAACATCATCTTTCTCCCACGGAACAGCTGGTAGTTTCAAACTGCTGACCATGAGATTAGCAGCCCAACTCATAACCAGTACGCGAGCAGAGCTCCTTGAATTAAGGTAGAGTTTGGGTTTGCTTAGAGTCCTGGTGGGGTGCTGTAGGATAAGCACTGGACTGCAAGGTCGGTTTAAACCATGTGGTTGGTAGTTCAAACTCTCCAGCCATTCCTTAGAAACCCTGTACAGGGTCGCTATGAGTTGGAACCAACTCAACAACACTTAACAACAACAATACGGTTTCTTAGGGTATAAGCATTGTCCCATCCCCAGGGTGTTTATGGGGGGAATACCTGCAGCCTTAAGAATCTTTTTATAATGGAAACTCCATGAATTCATAAAATCCACATTAATGTCATTTCAGGGCCTCAAGCCTCACTCCAAAATCAGCAAGAAGTTTCTGTGGGGAAATTATCATGTTGTGTGCAGGCCAGGCAAAGTCAGACCACCAGGGGGCGCTGCCTGGCTTGTCTCTTTACCCAACTTGTCAACTGAACCAAAAAAAAAAAAAAAAAAAAAAAACCCAGAAAAGAAATTAAAACTCCTTGTTTTCAAGTTGATTATGACTCCTAGTGACCCTTTGGAGTAGTATAAAACTGCATCAATGAGTTTCCAAGGCTGTCAGTCTTTATAGGAGCAGATTGCCGCATTCATCTCCTGTGGTGGGTTTGAACTGCAGCCAAGAGTTTAACCCCTCTGCTACCAGGACTCCTTTGCCAACTGGACAGAGAAGGTTAAATCTGGAAGTCAGGGAGGTAATTTGGCACTTATGCTGGGGAGCATGAGCAACTGGCCTAGATCTTGCAGATCTGTGACCTGACCATTTGGGAATGGCAGTAACAGGGATCCTTCACATCAGTTGGGCCTTCCTGTTCCAGGGTACATTGCCTCCTCTTCCTATGAAGAATGGGTACCTATTCTTCATTATAGCCAATGAGCTAATGCACAGAAAAAGAACCGAGTACTAGAAGGGGATGCTTCAGGCCACATAGTTGGTAAGGAGCAAAGCAAAGATCACTCCCATAGCAATCCCAGGGTCCTGGCTTTGACGAGCGGGGATAAAGAAAGGAGAAGCATCTTGAGACCTATAGCCCAGGCCTGAGTCCTGCTCTAAAGCTACCCAGCAAAGCACAGCTGACATTCCTTTTCACGCCACCCTGCCCTGATGGGCTGTTACTTACCTTCTCCTTTATTTTGGAGGAGTTGGTGAGGAACTTCTAATCAGCATGGATGAGTCCCTCAATATTTCATCAAGACCCATGATTTCCCTGGCATGCAGCCTGCCTCTCTAGGGATGATTTTCAGTCTTGCCCAAAGAGCTTCCTCACACACCTCAACTAGCCATGGGGTACCCCAACCTGCAACTGCACTCTGAGTCTGGAAGGGCCACGCCACTGCACTAGCCAGGATGCCTGAAACTATCATTTATTTTACTGCCAGCATCATACTTACTGCTGTATACATAGCCTCATTTAATGCTTACATCAGCCCTATGAGGCATAGTTATTTTACAGATGAGGAAACAGGCGCAGAGAGGAAAGTACTTTAGCAATCCAGGGAAGGGACATTTGCTTTTTTCTACCACCTTTGCCTTTGATTGGCTGGATCCCCTGCTGCTGCTATAAACCCTTCTGTCAGTTCTGACTCATAGTGACTCTGCATAGGGTTTTTGAGGCTGTTAATCTTCACAGAAGTAGAAAGCCTCATCTTTCTCTCACAGAAAGGCTGGTGGATTTGAACTGCTGACCTTGAGATTAGTAAACCAATGCATCACCTACTACGCTACCAGGGATTTTTGTTGGATCCCCTAGTGGTGAGGCAATCTGGGGTCTTCACTGTTGTTTGGACTCTGGGTCTCCAGACAAAGGAACATAAAGGACATGAGGACTGGCTGTCCTTCAGCAAATGTTTCCTGGGCCAGGCTCTTGGAAGAAGAAACAGCTGGTCTTTCAGGAACTCACACATCCAGGGGGACCCACAGGTCTGCAGTCAAGGGTAAATTGCAGAAATGAACATGTGCACAAGCCAGCAAGAGTGACAGTGGAAGAAACAGGAGGCTGTGAGCAGAGGGAGGGAAAATGGGAGGGGCCTATCCAAAGGTGAGTAAGAGCATGCTCTGTAGAGACCTGTCAGCCAGATCAATACATTAGAGTCCCAGCTAAGTGGGGGGTACGCAGGAACATGAGGGCTTCCTTATGGGGACATGTCCTTGTTCTTCAGGCCAAGTGCAGAAAGATGCCAGGTGTCCAGGGATGGGGTATGTTTTATGATGCTGGGGATCATCTTGGTGGGAAAAAAAATGAGACTTTGCATTTACTATTAGTCATTAAATCTAGTGCTTAAGCCACGTACTGGTTATGAGTCAGGCTGCTAACCTCAAGGTCAGCATTTCAAAACTACCAGCTGTTCCTTGGGAGAAAGACAAGGCTTTCTGCTCCCATAAAGATTTACAGCCTTGGAAACCCTATGAAGGGTTGCTATGAGTCGGAACTGACTCCACAGCACACTGACACCACCACCAAGTGTTTGTAGGAGTTCTGATGGTACAGTGATTAAGTGCTCAGCTATGAAGTGAAAGGTTGGTGGTTTGAACCCATCAGCTGCTCTGTGGGAGAAAGATGGCAATCTGCTTCTGTAAAGATTTACAGCCTTGTGGTAGTTCTACTTTGTCCTATTAGGTTGGTAAGCATTGGAATCTCCTTGCCAGCAACTGAGTTTATTTTTTCAGTTAAGTATGCGTGTTCATATGTAAACACAGGTATGCGAGTATATAGTCTAAGCCTTATGTCCAAATCCCTTTACATCCATGATGCCTTTTTACTTTCCCCAGTTCCATGAAATGTTGTCTGGAACTATTATCCCTAAAGATAGATGAGAAAACAGAGCACAGGGAAAATGAAAAGTTCTTACGGATGGTTAGTGGTTCAAAAATTAGGAAACAATGGGGGCTTTGGGTCATGATCCTGCTCCTGAACCTTCTGCCTAGACCCTCATCGCAGTCATTCTAATTTCTATGACTTTTAGAAGGATGCCCTCTACCTTATGGAGCGCCTGTTGAGTGTAGCCCTGTGCTGATTCATGGTGAGGTTGTGGAGGGGCTATTAGCTTGACTTCTTTCTAGATTCTTTAGTGGGATGGCAAAGGATTTGCACTCTGTCCAGGGGGCTCAACTTCTCTGCTGTTTGTCTTTAATGGTAGATTTGTGCAAAACTTTCATTTCGTGTTAAGCACTGTTGTATTTTCCTTTGTCACACCACCTCAGGAGGAAGGTATGAACTTTATTTCCATTTTATAAAGGAGGAAAGGGAGACAGAGAGAGATTAAATGAATATGTCTAAGGTTACTCACTAAGTGATGGAGCTGGGATCTGAACCCAGGAAATCTGCCTCTGGGGTTACTCTTGCTTTCCCTTGTTAATAATAACACTCACAGCTTACAGTTGACTAACATCTTCTATGTGTCTGGAACTTTAATTCTGTTTCATTCCTCCCAGCAACCCAATGTCTTAGGCGGTGATGTTCTCCACATTTCTCATTTCATAGATGAGTAAATCCGGGTTTAGCCGGGACCCGGGATGAGGTGGCTCTAGATTGTACAGATGCTAGCTCTGTCTCCTTCTATCCTACTCTGCCGTGACTCTCTGTGTGACTTTGGGAAAGCATCTGTTTCCTGTCGCTTAAATGCTCTTCTATTCCCTGTCCCGGAGTCCTGGTGCGGTGCTGCAAGATACGCACTGGACAGCAAGGTGGGTTTGAATCGCAGGGTTGGCGGTTCAAACTCACCAGCTGCTCCTCAGAAACACCATCGCCATGAGTCAAAGCCGACTCGACTCTACGGCACTTAACAACACTCCCTGCTCCACAAGGCGAGAACAGGAGACAGCGGATGGGGCTGCCACGCTATGGGGGTGAGGGTCGCCAGGTGACTCCAGGGCCCTGTCGTTCCCCACTAACTCCCCAGGAGAAACCGTCGTTCTGGGGTGGCAGGGTACACAGGAGAGTGCTGGGAGGAGAAGGTGGATGCTAGGACAGATACAGGGAGACAAGGCTGGCTGGAGAAGCCTTAGCTGTGATTTGGGGAAGAGTCGAAGCATCCAGAAGCCACGTGCTGCGGGCAGTTGCGTAGGGAGCGGGTCTGTCCTCTGGAGAATGTGAAGGGCCACCGTCTCAAGAAAGGGGTGGGGAGGGAGAGCGAGACAGGTTCTGGGAAGGAGAGATTGGGGGTTGGGGGGCGACTGGTAGAGAGGAGGACCCGGACAAAGGAGGCGGCCAGCAGCCCAGCTGTTTTGAAAAATGCTTCCTGTTTCTTTAAAGGCGCTCGCGGCTCGGGCGGCAGAGCTCGGGAGTCGGCGGCCACAGGAGCTGCCTCCTCTCCGGGCGGCGGCGCTGACTTATCTCGCGTACTGGGCTTCGGTGTAAACTGAGGCTAAACAAACACAGATGGAGCGCAGCGGGCGTTCTCCAGAAATGCTGGCAACCCGGCAGCGACTTCTGATGACACTCTGAACGCTTCGGGAACGGACAGCCCGGAGGCTTCGCGGAGCCGGCGGCGCAGCTGCCCCGGGCGTGGGGGAGAAAAGAAGAGGGGGAGAGAGAGGGAGGGGGAGAGAGGGAGGGCCAGGGGGAAGCGGGAGACTGAGCGGCGCTGAGCGCGGCGGCGGCCCGGCTGAGCCTGTACCGGGTGTGCAGAGCGAGCGCTGTGGGAGCGCATCCCGGCCAGTCCCACGCCCCTGCCTCGCACGCTGCCTGCGCCATGAAGCACATCCCGGTTCTCGAGGACGGACCGTGGAAGACTGTGTGTGTGAAGGAGCTGAATGGCCTCAAGAAGCTCAAGAGGAAAGGCAAAGAGCCGGCGCGGCGCGCAAACGGCTATAAAACTTTCCGAGTGGACTTAGAAGCGCCCGAGCCCGGCGCCCTCATCACTAACGGGCTACGGGACAGGACCCAGCGGCTACAGCCGACACTGGCCCCGGTGCCAGCCCCGGTGGCGCCAGCCGTTCTCTCAGGTGGGGGAGTGGATGCAACACGGGAACGAGGAGGGGCAAGGGTGCCGGAGGTCTTGGACACGAGAAAGCGCGGTTTCGCCCTGGGCGCAGTGGGGCCGGGACTCCCCACTCCGCCACCGCTACCTCCAGTGCCCCAGGGTCAGATATCAGAAGCCACCGAGGTACTGCCTTGTCGGGAGCAGGGCCTGCGCCCCCGCATCTTGCTGTGCGCGCCACCCGCTCGACCCGCACCCTTAGCACCCCCTGCGCCTCCAGCGCCTTCAGCGTCCTCAGTGCGTCCCGCGCCCCCGACGCGCCCTGGGGAAAGTTCCTACTCCACAATTTCACACGTAATTTACAATAACCACCCGGATTCCTCTGCGTCGCCTAGGAAACGGTCTGGCGAAGTGACCGCCGCCTCCTCCGAGATCAAAGCCCTACAGCAGACCCGGAGGCTCCTGGCAAACGCCAGGGAGCGGACGCGGGTGCACACCATCAGCGCAGCCTTCGAGGCGCTCAGGAAGCAGGTACCAATTCCCCGCCGCACACTCTCACTGGCCAGGGGATAAATGCTGGAGTGGGTGGGTGGCAGGCCAAGAATTTTGGGGTGGATGACAGGCTGCCTAGTTGGGGCCAGAGCCCAGTCAGGTTTGGGCAATTCCGGGGCAGTGACCTTTGCCATAGTGTTGCAAAGTGGGTACAAGGGTTTGAGATCTCTGGCCCGGGCTCGCCTCGTCCCCTCACTTTCTACCGGAGTGACCGTGACGCTGCGTTTGATTTTAGTCCTCATAGTTCACTTTTATGGCAGTGAAAATTTGTCTCCCAGAGTCCCTTGGGCGCGGTAAAGTGGAGACGGGGGAATGTGGGAATGTCTTGGGCTGGGAAGGAAGGGGACGAACCTTCCCTACGGGTATTTGGTCTGGTACTGTTCTCGCCTGCTGGTTGGTAGTGGCGAGGCCCAGAAGGCTACTGAGGGGCGGTCATGGGGTTGCGGTTGCCAGTATATAAGGTTTGTGTAGTCTTGAGGAGCCCACTATGCCTGCGTCAGCCCCCAGCTTTCAACTGGAGCGTAGTCTCCAGTCGCTTCTGGGTCTTTAAGAATTTAGCTGTAAGCCTGCGCCCCCTCTGCAGGGTAACCTCAGGGATTGGCAAGCCGGAGTCTTCCCAGAAGATCCTCTTCCATGTACCCATCACCCCGTAGTAAAAGGGGCAAATGTGCTGAAAGGACAGGACAGTTGTGGGTTCCTCTGGAGGATGTTCAGAGTCTAGTTTCTAGGGTGATTCAAGACTGCCAGTTTGGGGCTAGGGGGACTCTGCAGAGTTGTGGAAGAATACTTCCCAAAGAAGAATTACCCTTGTTGGTTGACGAGCAGTTTACGATTCGTCTTTTTAAAAAAGGTGGGCAGGGCACAGTTCTCTGGCTACAGGCTTCACATTTTCTCAGCGGAAAGAGAGGTAGATCTAAGAAGTGGATGGCAAATGCCTTCCATCCCACCCCAGACAGGAGCTAGAGAAGTGTTGAGGTGGGTGTGACTGGTTTAAGGAGTCAGTTTGCTTGCATGCCCTGAAGCCAGCTGCTGTGTGACTCCAGAAAAGTTACTCAACCTCTCTAGGCTTTAGCCAACAACAAATCATTTCAGAAATCCTGGTATTCCTTTTGAATCACTCTCTCCTCTTCATCCCATAGGAGACGGTGGCTAAATGATGGCTAAATGATGCCGGTATCCATTCATGGAAAAGTAGTTGAACCCTTGTGGAGAAAGAAACCCTTTAGCTTTTGAACTAACATATCTTGCCTGGGTTTGGGTGAGACATTTGGTCAGTGAGGCTGGGTGGCGGGGTCAGGTGGTGGTCACAGAGCAGGCTGGGAAACTGCCCGCAGCCACTCCAGCCAGGACCTGGGCAGTGGGCCCAGTGGAGCAGTCTGTCCCACCCTGGGGCAGCAGCTCTGTGTCTCAGTGCCCTGGGGAGGGGAGACAGCAATCTACCGGAAGTCCTGTTACCTACTTCCCTGGGGGAAGGGTGGCAGAAGGACAGATGCCCATCTACCAGCTCACTTTGCAATTAGGGAAACCCCTCCCAGATTGGGGAGGCCATGTTTCCAGAGCCTGCCAGCTGGTGAATGACAGGGCAGGGCTGGCACCTACCTCTTTGACTGCCAGTTTGTAGCCCTTTTTACCCTCCCGGTTGCCACTTTTAGTTCCCAGTGAGGGCCTGTTTAAGGTCTCTGAGTACACCACTACATATCATTTTTCTGGTAGCTTTTGCTTCTTTCTAAAAAAAAAAAATTAATACTATTTGATCCTAACAACATCTTTGCCAGGATAGGCTTAGCCCCATCATGGTGGTGTGCCATCGACTCAATTCCAACTCATAGTGACCCTGTGTAGGGTTACTGAGGCTGTGAATCTTTATGGAGTCCTGGTGTGGCACTGTGAGATAATGCACTGGACTGAAAAGTCAGTTTGAACCAGCAAAGTCAGCAGTTCAAATTCACTAGCCACTCTTTGGAAACACTATGCACGGTTGCTACAAGTCGGAACTGACTTGACGGCACTTAACAACAAATGATGGGAGCAGAAAGTATCTCCCCCCCC